TCTTTTCGTCGTCATGAGTGCACTGGTCAAGCGTTGTGGAAGTCTGTCGGATTTTTGAGGCCTTGCCCTGCCGCTTACATCGTCAACGTGGAAGAACTGCTAGTGGAGTCCTGGTGGGATTTCGGATGCCCACACTCCTTTTGCTTGGTGGATTCTTTCGTGGACAGTGTTTTTTCGTGACGTGAAATTTTGAATTTTTTTCCTTCCTGTTCATTTTCAGTCGTTGTCACTGTAGCTGTCAGGTTGTTGTTACAGTACAGCAGTCGTCCGTTCTGCTCCATTGTTTCATCTGTTTTGCCAGTTCTGCTAGCTGATTCTATTTATTTGCCACTGCCCCTCATAGTGCTCATGCTTGGGTGGAGGGCGGCGTGACCCGTTTAGGGTAGCTGTATCATAGTAGTAGTAGTAGTGTGTATATGTGTGTCTTATATGGTGCAGAGGTATGTGCAGCGATTTCCAATCGAGAGGTTGCGGGTTCAATTCCCGACGATTATGGTCACACAGGTCTTTCTTATCTTTCTCAGACTCTTCCTGACTTTTCTTTCATTCTCCTGGGTGGTTACCAACAGCCAGTGCATACCGGAGTATCTGGTGTGAGGTGTGTGCGGGAAAAAATGAATAAAGACCACAAGTAGAGATTCACAGGCCGGAAAAAAGCCACTTAAGGGGGCACATCACCCAAAAATTCGCTGAAAAATCGAATTTGTAAATTCATATTGAGTGCTACGTCAGTTGAAAGAGCATGAATAGCTGCAAATTCTCTGAAAACTGTGTCCCTATCTGACCAGCCGTTCAAGAGTTATGGCCGAAAATGTGCCCTTGCAAGGAAAGATTTTTTTGTTGCATGCTGTCATTTGTTGGCAGCACTGTATTTGAATGTGAGCAGACCGTGCGCAACTTGTCGTATTATGGAAACACGCGAAAGTGTGCAGAATTTTGCCCCAAGTCCAAAAAAGTCCAAAAAATCACGTTAAAAAACCACGTATTGGGCTGCACGGCGGCGGGCGAAGCCCGCCGCCGTGCAGCAGGACTTTTGCCAGCACCCTCGTGACGTTGCAGATATGTGGCTTGATTATTGTAGTTGACGTTGATTTAGTGACTTTGGCAAGTTTGAGTCGTGTCAAGAAGTCAGGTAGGATTCAGTACTAGGCAGTAGTGAAACGTGAGTGGCAGTCTTTGCCGGTTTCTGAGGGCATCCTGGATTTGGTTTGCAGCGCTGTGGAAATGGCTTGCTGTGGAGGTCCCAGCACTGGATGTTGTATCAAAGGTACGACCTCGTAGCACGTGCCAAACCTAAAAAAATTCAAAAATTGCCTTGGGTCTGTGGTAGTCCGTGAAAGAACGCCCACTCGTTCCGTTGGGACAGATTCCAGGGCCACGTTGAGGGGCCCTACCCCACCACCCATGGCTGCTTCTGGACTTGTTTTAGGTTTGGGTCCCGCGCACGGACAGAATGGACACGAAAATGTGAAAAAAATGTAAATGCATTTGTTTGGCTCCTGGTTGGCTCGCACACCGTAGCACTATGCCGGAAATTTGAGTTTTTCCGGCCTGGAAAGCCTGTCAGTGAGACGCAAGAACTTGTAAATCATGTCCTGAGGGCCAGCATAGTGGCAGGAGTGTGTGGTCAAAATTTCACTCAAATCCACTGAGAAACACCAAAGTTACGGTCAATTGAATGCCATATGAAATTTTTGGGTGATGTGCCCCCTTAATAAGCGCCAATGCGGTCTAACTACAATTCGAAGTAGGAAAGCAACACACCACCCAACTTGGGTGGGTGAGCAATATCAGAGATAAAGAAAAGGGGGAAGCTTTGCGAAAATGAATTGTACAAAACCGGGCGCCAATATCTAACGGTACTCCTCATGCATGACAGTATTGTGGACGAGTTGACTACGATAACAAGTATGTTCACGCGACGTAGGTATTTTCTTTATCTCTGATATTGCTGAACCACCCAAGTTGGGTGGCGAGAAAGCAGTTTGGCGCAGGCTCGCAAACGTTGATTAAATCAGGGAGTGGTCGAAAGTCACAATCCTTGATTAGCTGCTAATGATGACGATGCGGCTCCGGCTGGGAATCACGGGAAAGTAACTTGCGTACCTGTATCCCATGTAGTGAAGACATGCATGAACATAATGTGTATCCTTCTTGGAGGACGTGGAACAAAATAATGCCAGAGTGTGTCCGATGTGCCTACCTGAGTATGTTCATTGTTCATTTAATGTTGTGCATGTACGGAAGTAACAGAACTGCGCTGTGAGGTACCTTCTGCGTTGGACCTACAGTTGATCCACTACTCTTCTTACAAATTCCATACGACGGTGAAAGATTTGTTGGAGCATCATCAAACAGTGCATTCACCTTCATCATACACTGGCTTCGTTGCCTACAGTAGTTCGCATTTTGACCGGGCATGCCGGGACGATACGTAAGGAGTGGCGGGAACCATTTCAGTGCTCATGATGCTGGTTAGCGGCGACAAATGTGAATGTCAGGAACGGGAACGCAACCGCATTACTGTACAGATCAGGAAGCGATAGACGAGTTGAATCTGTTCAACCTTCCATGCCGTGCACAAGGACACAAGCGTAATTTTTTTTTAAATGGCTACATTTCGAATGTAAACTGGCGATGGCATCGTGTGGCGACGAACACAACTGCAACTTTTCAAAGTTCAGCATTTCGAACACTAAGCTTCCCATGATAACTCACCGAATAGCTCACATGACGGAGTTGGACTTTACCAAGGAGTTGAAGCTAGGGCTATCATTTGCTGTATTTATGGATAGTCCTTGAGTTTTCAGATGCACTGCTTTATCTTTTACCTGTTGTTCCTTTTAAAAGGGCACAACGTTCATGGCTAGGGGTTTTTCCCGTGTGAGAAGGTTTTTAAGAGTCACAGGACGGCGGTGCACAACACGACTAGATGAGTTGCTCGTTTTCTAACCAAACCAGATTTCGAACAGGCAGACGTGCACAATCTAGCACAAAACTGACAAGGAGTGCAGAGACATTCCATTGCATGAAAGTCAGCTTGAGCACTGCTCGATAGCACTGCTCGATAGCACTGCTCGATAGCGCTGTCCAACGGCCTTCCAACTAACTTTACTTACTAAAATTGTCTTGAGAATGCTCATGGATATTAGTGCTAATTCCAAAGTGGGGGAGGTGAGCGCCATCGAGCCGAGCACAAGCTACACATGAATCCAAAGCGTCTCCACATTTTTCCTTGTTACTATTGTTTCCAAAGCTCACCAGATAAGGTCTTAGTGCACACATGTAGAGCCGTCTGTCATGAACAAACGGCGAAACGAACGTTGTGTGGTTTGCATGCAGTGCACGCACCATTACCCCTAACGCAGCCCACGCAATGACTCACGTATTAATCTTGCATGGATGCCAAGCTCCACCGCCCACTGATCAGATCGATCTTAGAGGCCTATGCAGACAATGCTGCTAGCAAGGAGGGGAATCGTGCAAACTAAGTCTCGGGCAACATTCCCTGCAAACACACAATCAGAGACGTGACACCTCCGCAATAGAGGCTTATAAGTATATAATACTTCACTCCATATACACCCGCACTCATATACCAAATCTCCCATGAAGTTTATAAATTCCCATATACACTGTTCAATATACACCACTAAGGAGGTTTATACACCACTGAGGAAAACCATCAGAAAAATCTCACTAAGGAACTTTCTTTCTCTAAAAAGGAGTGTATAATTATATAGCTTTCTCTCTAAACTATATTCACTCCTTTATAACAAGGGACCGAGTGTATATCGAGAAATATAGACCAGTATAAAAACCGAGGTGAGGCCGAGGTTTTTATAACTGGTCGATATTTCTCGATGTACACGAGGTCCCTTCTATATTTATACCTCTCCATGCTCAAGAGCAAAAAGGAGTGAATATAGCTTTCTTTCCCTAAAAGGAGTGAATATAGCTTTAGAGAAAGCTATATACACTTCTTTTTAGAGAAAGAAAGCTCCTCAGTGAGTTTTTTTCTGATGGTTTTCCTCAGTGGTGTATATTGAACAGTGTATATGGGAATTTATAAACTTCATGGGAGATCTGGTATATGAGTGTGGGTGTATATGGAGTGAGGTATAATAATAATTATCACGCAACTACTTTATCTATCACAAATATTGAGATGCTTCAGCCAAGGAGTAGCGCTGCACTTGTATTGTATTGTATTTGTATTAATTCCCCACAGGCCTTAGCCTAAATCAATGGAGTCTCACTTTACACTAGCGACGTTTGCATCGACTGGCCCCATAGACCCTGCACTACGCAGGCAGTAGGTGAACGCCATGCCGGGGGATACGACGACTCGACGAGCTTCTTACCCCGCAACCACATTTTTTCTTAATAATCTGGCACGGCCTCTTGTACGGGGGAAAACTCAAAACAATTCATTGAAAACCAGCGCAGCACCTAGGCTTTGGGCTGTCCACCTTCTCCGTGAAAGATAAAGTAGAATACAGGAGGTAAAAATACTATCATAACACATGATTGTATCAAAAAAACAATGAGAGAGTAAAACACTGTACACTTGAAGATAGAAATCATGCAATTAAGAATATGTACAGTACACAGCCCATGCCCAACTTCTTCCTACATGTACATGTACGTGTGGGCACGATGCGGAGGGATTTTGTACTTGTAATTTTAGCTGTATTCTAGGCGGAGAGCCCCGTGCTCGCTGGTGCTCTCGCAGCCCGCGCGTCCTCATCGCTAGCTGCGATCTCGAAACAACCCAGGCTAATAAAAAGATAAGAGAGCTCCAGAAAACACCCAATTGCTGCATTTGCTTGACAGCTCAATAGTTGAAAAATTGCTTTCAAGGTGCAACGTTAGACCAATTCGTGTCGCCAAACCGATTTGACCCGCTGCAGTGTGGTGCAGTGTTTTAAAGAGAGAAGGTTGCTTGCTATTGAAGTCGACCGATTAAACGTGTTTCGATTCTCAGACATCGTTTGAAAATGGCAGCTGCCATAAAGTTGGAGAGTAATGACGGCGAGGTTTTCGATGGTGCAATTAACGTTGCCCGACAGGCTTTAGAAATCAAGGCCGAGTTAGACGTGCGTGGCCACAAAGATGGCGACGACACCACTTTGCCTGTGCTAAATGCAAATGGCGCGACGTTGAGAAAGGTGATTACATGGTGTACGCGGCACCAGAACGATACGCCAGTGCAAGAGGATGACTCCCTAGAAACCAAAGATAGCGGTGCTGACAACATTGACAGCTGGGACAAGGACTTCTGTGACGTAGACAAAGGAACCCTCAGTCAGCTCATCCTAGCTGCGAAGGACTTGAACATCAGGGTGAGACCAATTTGTGATATATTCGCTGTGTGCTGTTTCGTCTATGATGCATTATGGGTCTTGTGTAGCGAAATCTTTGATACTGTGTTTGCGTGGTTCAACCTTCAGCCGGCTGAGATTTGGTTCCATGCCAAGTGTTGAAGTGGGTCACCATCAGTTGTTTCGTAAGCTTTCTCGACCGTGTAGAGCAAATATGAGCTTTAAGTAAGCCGAGCTACTGGTCATGGTGCAAAGGACGCCCCACAGACATTAGGATGCTATAAGTTCCTTGGCTACGCTTTGGAACTGTTTTCGTTACCTATACCCTTCATCTCTCTACACAGTGTATAGGGGAATTCACCCCTCATCAGTTGAGCTTTAGTAGGCTGCGGAAGATTGTATTAGTATTTATTTATTCCCGTAGCTATGCAGAAGACGTTACTTCAGTAACGTCTGGCGCTAGCCAGGGTCCACACAGCTTTAATTTGGTGTTTGTTTGTTTGTTTGTTTGTTTGTGTCACGCCTGGAGCTATCCCGTATCTGTCCCGTTCTTCTATTGGTCAGTTTAAAGATCTACTATCACAACTGAACTAGACGCAATAATTATCATCGAAGAACATTCTCGAATACCTGGGTGATGCACGAATTTTGATAGTGCTCACTTCCGTTAATCGTTTTTCTTTGTAATTTTCCATTCATTTTCTGCTCTAATTCATATTTGCTTTTTTTTCCTAGCTTACTATTGCCGCGGCTGGCTCAACGCCCTTGTCTCAGGGGATTCTGTCCCTGCATTAGCTATGCTTGTCACATGCTATGAGATTGTGTCTAATAATAATAATAATGCAAATAATCGACGTGGAGACAACAATTTTATAATAGCAATAAAAAGAACAAATTCTGCAGTCATCGCCACACTACAACGAAGTCATGTAAGTTTACCAGAATTAATTTTCTTGTCACATTCATCAGTGGAAAGTCGTGACTGAAGAGTAACCATGCTGAACAATGATTAAATATACATTCAATGATGTGTTACGAGAACAAAATACAGTGCCAAAATAGAAAGAGGGAAGGTGAGACAATAGCAGTGAAGTGAGAGCTAACCTTTCTAGACGTCCTTGTGGAAAAGTCTAGTCAGGGTACCGTAACATCTGTGTACAGAAAGCCTACATTCACCGGCCAGTACATAATGTTTGACTCGTATTGTTCGTACCAATACAAGGTGAATTTAGTGCGTAACTTGGTGGATCGAGCAGAGCGTATTTGCTCCTCTTCCAAACTAGCTGAGGAACTGGATTTCCTTAAGTCCGTTTTTCTAAAGAACGGGTACCCTGATGATCTATTGAAGGAACTCATGAGCGAAAGGCTGGATAAAAAGGAAAAACGTTTTGGCCCGGACAAATGTCCCACGTATCTTTCTCTCCCCTGGAAAGGTAACCTCTCATTATCCATGAGTCGCTTGGTACGGAAAATTGTACAGCAAACTTACTACGCGGTACATTTTGTACCCGTTTTCACAACTGTACGTGCGTTCACGGTGAGGAAGGATGTCCTACCAACCCAACTTGCATCTAAATTGGTATACCAATTTGAGTGCCGACAATGCGGTAGTCGGTACGTTGGTAGGACTCTTCAACATCTGAACGCACGTATCAAGCAGCACGTCCCACTGCATATGCTGACTGGCTCGGCACGGGCACTGCGACCAAAACGCGGCAGGCCACTGAAGAACCCTCGGCCACAGCCATCGTTAGCACAATTTCCGTCATCGGCAATAGTGCCTCCATTACCCGTATCGAGAGCCTTGGAGTCGGGTAATGGGCATATTGTCACCACAACACAATGCACCATAACAACACAAGATAACACACCACAACAACATTCAGCTCAAGACCAAAGTGGACGCTGTGATGAGGTAATGCCCTCATCGCCGTCTTTGCCGTTGCCTCCCCCAGAACCGCCACCTACATCTATCATCGGCGGTGCTGGGGCTGAGTCTGTGGTGTCGGTGGCACGTGCATATATGGATGAGGCAAGCACTGATTGTGAACAACGAGAAAGAAGGCTGAAGGGAACGGAATTCAACAAAGAAAGTAACACAATCAACATTCAAAGACCTAGACGATCAACGGCTAATTATTCAATGAATTATTACAGTACTGGAGATCAAGCACCGGCGAGGACACTGGGAACACAAGATTTAACAACAACAACAACAACAACAACAACAACAACAACAACAACAACAACAACAACAACAATGGTAACAAGTTGCCATCAAGATCAAAGGAGGAGTCAACGAACAGAGGTTAAACAACGTCAAACGAGCCTGGGACCGATCAGTGTTGATGAGGAGAATGACACGGAGGACGACACTGAGGACGAGTTGGGAGATGAAACGGAGGACGAGATTGCGGTTGTTGGAGACGAGGAATCAGATGGTGATTGTGATCGTAAGAAGTCTGCCGTTTTTCTTCACTTGTTGTCTCACCCTAAGTGTCTGCAGGTGTATGATGATTTTAGTTTTTCTGTTCTTTGTCGTGCACGGTATGCTAGTCAGTTGAAAGTACTTGAGGCTGTTTGTATTCGTTTGCATAAGCCTGATCTTTGTAAGCAGAAGAAACATGTAGTTGCGTTAAAATGGTTTTCGTAGGTGCACAGCATGATTGTTTGTCTCACTACACAGTTTTAGCGTTATAATTATTAGTTTTTCACCCACCGTTGCACTTAGCTCTCACTTCACTGCTATTGTCTCACCTTCCCTCTTTCTATTTTGGCACTGTATTTTGTTCTCGTAACACATCATTGAATGTATATTTAATCATTGTTCAGCATGGTTACTCTTCAGTCACGACTTTCCACTGATGAATGTGACAAGAAAATTAATTCTGGTAAACTTACATGACTTCGTTGTAGTGTGGCGATGACTGCAGAATTTGTTCTTTTTATTGCTATTATAAAATAATAATAATAATAATAATAATAATAATAATAATAATAATAACGAAGGTACGTGTTAGGTCGTAAGTATCCACGCAAACACACATCCAGTCAAAATAAGGCACTTGTCAAAGTATCCGAACGTTTTCGGTCCCTTCTCATCAAGGATTATACAGGGAATGGCTCAAGTTGGAAAGACTAAAACTTATATAGCGTAAAGATATGAGATAACAACACTCGTGACAAGGTGAAAAAAGTATCAAGTTCAGCACGACACAAAACTCGAAGGACATAATAATAGCGACAAGAACATAGTGAGCAAATTAAGTTACATTGTTAACACCTCGACGAGGAGTAACACCAAACAATTGTAGCGACAACACATTTTCTTTTTGTACGCAAAGTTCAGGATCTAACTTACGGATATACAAAGCTTCTAACACAGCCAGATGCAACGCACATCTACCACGTGACAATATTGAGAACACATTATCACTGTACAACTCACGACAATTGGTACGGGCTGACAGATGTTGCTTGATGGACGAAGTGCGATTCTTAGCTCCGTTGGGTGTAGTCTCCTCCAATGTCCCGTCATCTCGCCTCTTCGCGGCATCACCACTATCCGTCTCTTTGCTTTTCCGCGGCCTTCCACGTTTTCTGACACTAGCCGTTGTGTGCGCGATGCCCAGTGTCCTTTCAGCTACGTCTCCTCCATTGCGGATTTCTATTGATCTTCTTACTCCAACTTGTCCGGTGTTCGATATTGAGGTTCGTTTTCGCGGTCTACCACGTTTTCGAATATTGACTGTTGTTGTCAGAGATCAATAGAAATCCGCAATGGAGGAGACGTAGCTGAAAGGACACTGGGCATCGCGCACACAACGGCTAGTGTCAGAAAACGTGGAAGGCCGCGGAAAAGCAAAGAGACGGATAGTGGTGATGCCGCGAAGAGGCGAGATGACGGGACATTGGAGGAGACTACACCCAACGGAGCTAAGAATCGCACTTCGTCCATCAAGCAACATCTGTCAGCCCGTACCAATTGTCGTGAGTTGTACAGTGATAATGTGTTCTCAATATTGTCACGTGGTAGATGTGCGTTGCATCTGGCTGTGTTAGAAGCTTTGTATATCCGTAAGTTAGATCCTGAACTTTGCGTACAAAAAGAAAATGTGTTGTCGCTACAATTGTTTGGTGTTACTCCTCGTCGAGGTGTTAACAATGTAACTTAATTTGCTCACTATGTTCTTGTCGCTATTATTATGTCCTTCGAGTTTTGTGTCGTGCTGAACTTGATACTTTTTTCACCTTGTCACGAGTGTTGTTATCTCATATCTTTACGCTATATAAGTTTTAGTCTTTCCAACTTGAGCCATTCCCTGTATAATCCTTGATGAGAAGGGACCGAAAACGTTCGGATACTTTGACAAGTGCCTTATTTTGACTGGATGTGTGTTTGCGTGGATACTTACGACCTAACACGTACCTTCGTTATCCGCCTCCGACTTCTTGTAAAATAATAATAATAATAATAATAATAATAATAATAATAAATTGCACCCTGAGAATTGTGCGGTCGGTGACTGGTCATGGATGGGAGAGTGGCATGGTCGGAACGGTCGGTTGACCTTATGTTAGCCTGCCCGTAATGTCTCGATGTGTCTCAGTCCGTGTGTTTTATGATTGTGGTGCATCATGTGCTGTGTGACGAGCCGAGAGGCGTGAATTTCTGCCATATGCCCCCAGTCATGTATTGTCTTTCTCTGCATATGCCGTTTTATCTCGTCTGAGTTTGTCTTGCTTGGAGTGTCCCATGTGCAGCATGCTTGGTGTTTACTACTTGAGTAGTTCTGTTATACATGACTGTGATTTTATGTGAGTATCGAAGTTGGTATACTTGAATTTTTCTCTCATGAAGTTTATCAAAATTTGGTTCAGGATTTTCTTTTATCTTCATTGACTGGTGCTTCACCCTTGGGTCATATGGATCCCGGTGCTGTGCTTCATGCCTCCTTTCAAGTTTTCTTTTTCTGCTTTGGGAGTGAATAAAGTCGTCATAATAATAATAATAATAATAATAATAATAATAATAATTTGGAAAGGATTGGGAGAACTTCAAATTCAAAGGATCTGTCGGGGAAGTGAACTGCCTGAAAAGAGAAAAAAACGCCAGACCCACCAGGACTCGAACCTGGGACCCTGCTTGTCATGAGCAATGCTCTAACCACTGAGCTATGGGACCAGGCTGAACCTAGAAGGCGCTGACAAGTTTTTCACTCCAAAGGCAGCTCACAACACGTGCCACACATACTGATGGCACTTGGGTCTTTTTCCCTCCCCCAGGGGACCAACCACGGTCAGTTTCTGGAAACTACCAGAGGTGAAAGAAAGTGATTAAATTTGGAAAGGATTGGGAGGACTTCAAATTCAAAGGATCTGTCGGGGAAGTGAACAATCCTTTCCAAATTTAATCACTTTCTTTCACCTCTGGTAGTTTCCAGAAACTGACCGTGGTTGGTCCCCTGGGGGAGGGAAAAAGACCCAAGTGCCATCAGTATGTGTGGCACGTGTTGTGAGCTGCCTTTGGAGTGAAAAACTTGTCAGCGCCTTCTAGGTTCAGCCTGGTCCCATAGCTCAGTGGTTAGAGCATTGCTCATGACAAGCAGGGTCCCAGGTTCGAGTCCTGGTGGGTCTGGCGTTTTTTTCTCTTTTCAGGCAGTTCACTTCCCCGACAGATCCTTTGAATTTGAAGTTCTCCCAATCCTTTCCAAATTTAATCACTTTCTTTCACCTCTGGTAGTTTCCAGAAACTGACCGTGGTTGGTCCCCTGGGGGAGGGAAAAAGACCCAAGTGCCATCAGTATGTGTGGCACGTGTTGTGAGCTGCCTTTGGAGTGAAAAACTTGTCAGCGCCTTCTAGGTTCAGCCTGGTCCCATAGCTCAGTGGTTAGAGCATTGCTCATGACAAGCAGGGTCCCAGGTTCGAGTCCTGGTGGGTCTGGCGTTTTTTTCTCTTTTCAGGCAGTTCACTTCCCCGACAGATCCTTTGAATTTGAAGTTCTCCCAATCCTTTCCAAATTTAATCACTTTCTTTCACCTCTGGTAGTTTCCAGAAACTGACCGTGGTTGGTCCCCTGGGGGAGGGAAAAAGACCCAAGTGCCATCAGTATGTGTGGCACGTGTTGTGAGCTGCCTTTGGAGTGAAAAACTTGTCAGCGCCTTCTAGGTTCAGCCTGGTCCCATAGCTCAGTGGTTAGAGCATTGCTCATGACAAGCAGGGTCCCAGGTTCGAGTCCTGGTGGGTCTGGCGTTTTTTTCTCTTTTCAGGCAGTTCACTTCCCCGACAGATCCTTTGAATTTGAAGTTCTCCCAATCCTTTCCAAATTTAATCACTTTCTTTCACCTCTGGTAGTTTCCAGAAACTGACCGTGGTTGGTCCCCTGGGAGAGGGAAAAAGACCCAAGTGCCATCAGTATGTGTGGCACGTGTTGTGAGCTGCCTTTGGAGTGAAAAACTTGTCAGCGCCTTCTAGGTTCAGCCTGGTCCCATAGCTCAGTGGTTAGAGCATTGCTCATGACAAGCAGGGTCCCAGGTTCGAGTCCTGGTGGGTCTGGCGTTTTTTTCTCTTTTCAGGCAGTTCACTTCCCCGACAGATCCTTTGAATAATAATAATAATAATAATATTGACTGGTTTTGAGGGAAAGAGACAAACGGGAAAAGTCTGAAGAAAAAATTGACTGTCACCACCAGGACTCGAACCAGGGACCCTCGCTTGTAGCCAGCGATGCTCTAACCGCTGAGCTATGGTGTAGTCGTCATCCAAGCAGAGACCGTTCAACGTTTTCCTCAGACTTCGTAACTCACACTTCCTGTGAATCCACACAGGTAATAATAATAATAATAAAAGTAGAAAGGAAAAGGACATATGGAATCGAGTTAAGAGCAACTCTCCACCACTGTAACTAGATACTATATACAGTCAGAAAGTGCAACAACTAGGCACAAAACTGACAGAGTACTGAGACATTCGACGTCCTGACACCTAGCTTCAACACATCTCCGTAGCGCTAACCGACAGCCTTCCAACTTGGAAGGTTCAAGGTTATGGAAAGACCAAAGAGGGGAAGGCAAGCGCAACGAAAACGAGCACAAGCTACAGTACCAACTAGGTGTCAGGACGTCGAATGTCTCAGTACTCTGTCAGTTTTGTGCCTAGTTGTTGCACTTTCTGACTGTATATAGTATCTAGTTACAGTGGTGGAGAGTTGCTCTTAACTCGATTCCATATGTCCTTTTCCTTTCTACTTTTATTATTGGCTCAATACCCGAGTTTCAAATAATAATAATAATAATAATAATAACATACGGTGCCCGGATCCGGGAAGTTGAGCACGCGTCATTCACCCCGATCGTCCTGTCTTCCGCTGGTGCCCTGGCGAAGGAGGCCACCCGGTTCCTGAAGCTGCTCGGAACGAAGCTCTCCACCAAGCTCTCGCAGCCTTATCCCCTCGTGATGGGAAAGCTGCGGACGGACCTGGCTTTCAGCCTTGTCCGCGACTCCGTCCTGGTGGTTCGTGGGAGTCGCCGTGCATTCCGTGCACCTGGTCTGGCGGCGGATGTGGATGCTGTTTCTGTGGAGGCCCGCATTCCCGCCACTACGTGACGCTAAGTCCTCCTGGGGTTTGCCGCTCTCCGGTCCTCTTTCATCCCGTTCTCCCCTCTTTTTTGGGGATTCTTTGTACTTCGTCTTTCTTGTTTTTCTTGTTCCTTTGTTTTTTTGTAGGACAGATTTTTGGTGTACTGATTTCGGTCGTTGTTGTGTCTGACTCTATTCCCAATATCTAATTCTGTGGTTGGTTTTCCAACTCATTGGGTTTTGTAGTTTCCATCATGAGTTTGATTCCATCGTGAGTTTGATTCCATCGTGAGTTTTGATTCTATTTGCTATTTTTCGTTCCATTTTTGAGCTCATATTTTATTTTCCTGATTTCTTCTCCAGTGTATGTTGTATTGCATTTTAATACATTGTGTTAATTTTTGCCCGTAAAAGAGGCTTGCACTTCAAAAAAAAAAAAAAAAATAATAATAATAATGTGGTTCCGTTGGGACTGTAGCTTTTGCTCGTTTTCGTTGCGCTGGCCTTCCCCTCTTTGGTCTTTTCCATAACCTTGAACCTTCCAAGTTGGAAGGCTGTCGGTTAGCGCTACGGAGATGTGTTGAAGCTAGGTGTCAGGACGTCGAATGTTTCAGTACTCTGTCAGTTTTGTGCCTAGTTATTGCACTTTCTGACTGTATATAGTATCATGTTACAGTGATGGAGAGTTACTCTTAACTCGTATCCATATGTCTTTTTCTCTTCCACATTTATTTATGGCTCAACATCCGAGTTTCAAATAATAATAATAATAATAATAATAATGGTTGGATTTTAGGAAAGCGTTTGACAGCCTATCGCAGGAGTGGCTAGTCGAAGTCACACGTCTGTACAAATTCCACCCCAAGATCACTTCGCTCTTGTCTGTGCTCTCATCGCAGTGGCGTACCCAGCTGCGCTTGGGAGCTGACATGAGTGAGGCAATACCGATCCGGCGAGGCATTTCCCAAGGTGACTCGTTATCCCCTCTGCTCTTCTGTCTTGGATTGAATCCAATATCAGGTGAACTCAGCAGAAGTGGCTTTGGATATGCGTGCGGACTTCAGCGGACAACAACCGTATCCCACTTATGGTACATGGATGATGTGAAGCTGATGGCCGCAACCAGTAAGCAGCTTAACTCAATGATCAACATAGTATCGTGCGTTGGGAAATCCATTGGAATGGAGCTTTCTCCAGCAAAGTGTGCTAAGCTTGTGTGCCCACATGGTGCTGTTGATCCGGATCAGCCAGCAACTGTCACTGTGGATCAAGCCTCCAGCATTGCCTCCTTGGCGGACGGCTCCGTGTATGCCTACCTTGGCATAAGGGAGTGTTTTGGCATGGCGGAACAGTCTGTTAAGGTGGCCACCACCAAAGAGTTCAGGAGGCGATTGCGGCTGGTGACCCACACATCTCTCAACGCCTGCAACCTCTCTCGTGCTATTAACTCTTATGTCATCCCAGTGCTGTCGTATGGCTTGTGTATTGTGCCATGGACGAAGGATGCTATTGCAACCTTCGACAGGAATGTCCGAAGTGCGCTCCGCGCAGTGGGAGCACACCACCCACGATCTTCCACTATCCGCTTTCACCTGCCGAGATCTGAGGGCGGCCGAGGGATTGTATCGGTTGAGCACCTGCTGGAGAGGAAATACATCCGCCTGTCTAGGTATCTCCAGGCGCACTCTGACCTGCCGCTGATTGCTGCGCTGCATGCTCATCATGAAAATCTTCCGCCTACAAAGTCGATCATCTCCCGGGCGGCCACGGCAATGGAGCACTTCAACATCCTGGACATCGGAGGTGCAACAACTGACGTTGTTAAGTCTGCTATCAGAACCACCACCCAAGCTTCTCTGCGGCAGAAGCCACTGCATGGTCGCTATTGGCAGAGGAGTGGCGGTGTATTGGACATGCCTCTCTCATTCAACTTTCTAAAGTCTCCAACATTGCGTCCATCCACTGAGTCATCCGTATTTGCTGTTCAGGATCAGGTGGTTAATACCAGGAACTACGAGAGATCGGTTATTGGCGACACTTCCGTGGTGGACGTGTGCCGTTTGTGCGGAGGTCCGGGGGAGACTGTTGACCATATTTTGGCATGCTGCCCCGTGTTGGCACGGACGGCATACATTACTCGCCATAATCGTCTTGCCGCTATAGTCCACCGGGCACTCTGTCATCGCTACAAACTGGTATCTCCTGCTCCCCCTGGCCACTTGCCACACTACGTCGAGGATAGTGAAGGCCGTAAGTTAATGTGGGAAATGCCAATCCCTACAGATAGGATGGTTGGAGCAAATCGGCCGGATCTTGTGTGGGACGATGGCAAGTCAGTCCAACTTATTGATGTCAGTGTGCCACTGGATCATAGAGTAACACTAAAACATGCTGAAAAGAGAGCGAAGTACTTGCCCCTCGCAGTGGAAATTGGGCAGATTTGGCAGCGAGAGGCAGTGTCCGTAGTGCCCATTATAGTTGGTGCTCTTGGTGGCCTGACGAAGGAAGCGGCTACCTTAATTAAGCAGCTATGTGGAGAAGAGCGGCACCTTCATGAACTGCAGCAGGCTGCTATCCTTGGCTCGATGGCCATTCTAAGATCTGTTTTGGGTGCAGCATAGGGCTCTTCGCTGTCCCTGGTGGGCTTTTATGCTCTGTATGTTATTGTATTCGTTTTAGTTTGTAATTGAAACACTGTGGTATTTCTGTGGGTATTCGTATTTGATCTTTCTGTGGGTGCGCATTGGAAGTTGTGCCCAGTGATGAGCTTTGCCGGCCTGAATTTTTCGCCAACTTCTGATGCTCCCCTTTCTGCAATACCTGTTGTCATGATACCTCTGAGCTGTAATGCCTGTGATGGTACATGCGCCTTTCTCCCTTCTTCTCTCTCTACCTTACTTTTTTCCATATATTATTCCGTGCTGCTTACCTTTGGCTATGATAAGTCCGGTGAGTTAGTGTAATACCTTCAATTTTTATTTTTATTTTCAATTTGGAGTGGAATAAAGACTCATAATAATAATAGCATCTGTGACTACAAAGGCTCTACAGGATTGTACATAACAACTGGCCACAATATTGGCTGGTACCGTATCTGTCCCGTACCGTACCACCGAGCACAGCTGGCCACGAACAGCTGGCCACAATATATTTAGAAAAGCGATCCTGTCAGCTTTTCTATTATTGTGTTCACATGGCAAGAAAAACGACACCGCTATGCTACGTAAGTTTCTACGTAAGGTGCTCGGTATTTCACTTAGGCTACGTAAGTCTCTACGTATGGTGCTCGGTATTAGATCTACCAACGGGTGGTAGCCGCGTGCTGTGCACGTGCACGGCAGACTTTGTGTTCAGTCCGCGGATATCCGTGTTCGGATGTGCATGCGCGAGGAACTTCCTTCTTTGGAACCGCTTCTTGCATGAGCTGTTTCGGATATTTCGTCTCCTGGCCTGGCTTATTTCGTTTCGGCGCTGCTGAGACCTCCTTTCGCGGAATATTACTCAATTACAGGTGAGTTGACCAGTTGCCTTTGATTCATTTGCTTGTGTTGACTCTTTCATTCACGAAAAGTGTGCTGATTTTAGGCGGAATGCAATAAATAATGGAAAAGCTGACAGGATCTCTTTTCTAAATTTAGCTTTTCCGCTGCTGAGGCCACCTTTTACGGAATACTCGATGACAGATGATCTCTGAGTTGACCGGTTTCCTTCGATTCATTTGCTTATGCTCACCCTTTCATTTACGGAAACGTGTGCTGATTTTATTCGGATTTAGGGGGTGATTATATGTGCAGCTCCAGCCCGGGCTGGTCGACAGGCGGGCCAGCCCGCCTGCAACGGGATCTCGGGGTTGTACACAAATCCACACAAAACCTGTGGTGCGTTTACATGGCAAGCGGGCTGGCCCGGCGAGGCGGGATCCCGCCTCTAGGCACACGGGATCCCGGCTAGGCGGGCCAGAAAAAGCACATATAAACAGACCAGCCCGGGCCAGAGTTGTATTATTATGGTATCGACACTGCGTTCATACTACAAAATAGGTACTTTTACCTCTTGAGGGAAGTTATAAAGAGGATTCCCGATATTGTCTTGAAAATCTAGGAAGCTTTTTGTACAGCAACAAGAAGGACGTGCAATGAGCACTGTCTATTTGTCGACATGCATGATTTACATTAAAATGGAAGGGGAACTACTTGAAAAAAAACTTTGATATGGACAGCTAAAAATGTGAAAAACAGGAAAAAGAAACGAGGTGATACAACACACCAAACATGTGTCACAGCGCGAAAATAAATCAGCAGAAGAATACATTGTGTGAGAAAAAAAGTTTTTATGTTTATAACCTGAGTATGGCTTGCAGCCCTGCGTCTCAGCCCGGGGCAGCACATTACAGTCGTAGTGTGTTTGCTGCATACTCACAACGGGCTGGCGTGTGCTCAGCGCATATAAACTCACTGCGGGCTGGCGACCAGCCCGGCCTTGCACATGTAAACACCCTTGGCGGGCTGGCCCGCTCGCTCCAGCCCGGGCTGGAGTTGCACATATAAAAGGCCCCTTAGATCCATTTTTGTCTCTTTGCCCTTGTCTACAGTGTACGAAGAACGCGAGTTCACCTTCTTGACGGTAAGGCTTATGTTAGATGTGTTGTCGAAATACTCATATTCATTGTACATTGGTACGTTACAAGTAAGGCACTGGTCAGTGGCATACTATCGTTGGCAGTTCCCAATCTGGAGGGAAAGGTTCAAGGACCTATTGACCGAGTTTGCAAAATAAATTCGCATATCAGGGAAAATCTCCATTGTGGAGAGGTTCAGTAACTTGTTTGCTTCATACGAAACAATCCAATGGGTGGAGTCTGGTGAAAATCTCGTACTTGTATGATTGGATTTGTTTACTCGAGCCTGGGCTGTTTGATTTGTGAGTACCGCCGAGATTTCACTGCCCCAAATAAAGTTTCGTGCCGCCCAAGCTAGAAATACGACCTGCAATCTGTTTGTAGTACCTGCAAGAATGTGGAGTACATGATTGTATCGTACTTTTTCTGTTTCAGTTGCCGTCATGTTGCTAAAGAAAGGTTCAGTAGATTCAGTAGAGAGGTTCTGCAAAACGAAAATTCGAACGAAGTTTCGCGACAGTCCTTGTGAAAGTGTGTACGAATTTTTGCACGAACTTTACGTTCTGCACAGTTTGCGCGGGCCAAGTGCACGTACACCATGACCCGATCTCACGAAATTTCCTACGACAGTTCATTTCGCGTTCCCTGCAAGTTAGTTTCGAGTCCAAAGGTGCGAAAGTTCGTGCGAAGTTTCGCACTTCATGATGTAGAGCGAAAGTTTGTACGCATTTTCGTTTTGCAGAACCTCTCTAGTTTGTTTCATACGATACGAGTCAATGAGTCGGTGTGGCTTAGAATCTTTCGCTGAAGAAGAAATCTATTCATCTGTCTATTGGAGAAATAAGATTGAGTATTCACTGGTTATAAAATAGGTTAAGACAAACTCACAGAATAAATACCATCGGTCCATTGGTGTTCGTCCTAAAGAGGTTCGACTGGATATTATTCATACTCACCAAAAGAAGTGTCACATTTTATTATTGTGGAGTGCCTTGTTTATCTCTCAGTACCTCCAACCATAGCCTTGCCCCTTTTATCCTCAGGATCAGTGTAGTTGTTGGAACGAGGTGTCGGACTCAGCAATGTATTTGTTTACATTTTAATACATGTTTATTGTTCCTCCTTTGCTGTGTTGTTTTAGAAAATCGTGGACTGACAGTTTGAAGTCATTGAACTACATGTACTTCCAAAAGTTGTATCGACATCAACAGGATTACCATTTCAGTGCAATATGATGCAGGATGACCTTATCACGATAACCCATGATTATAAACCATTATAAACACAGAATCAACAAAAACATCTGCGACACGCACCTGGCTACATTTCTCAAATAAATCTGATCGAGGGTGGGGAAATCTGAAATATCTGAAAGGCAAGACAATTTTATGACAGAGTCATGACATTCTGCAACAGCAAGCTGCAACATGCACAGAATGACCTCCGTATAAAAAAAGTATCACCACCACCAGACCACTACTCACATGTTTCCTCGCAGAAGAATAGCATTAGGCTAGTGCCATTTTCTGCAAGAAAAGGCTTGCACATCAATGCGTATAATACGGTATTGATATGATGTGAAGGCCATCATTTACATATTGATATAGGGCATTCCATTGATTGGTGACAGAAAAAACAAAAGAAATTATAGCAATAAAAACTGCTTTATGGCAGTCTTCTAAAAAAAGTTATTGTGTTCTAGTCCATGGAGCATGGACCCCGTCTAAAAAGTAAGAAATTAACGAAATGTGATAGCCGAAAATTAAAATTTCACACAAAACCTCACAATAATCACACACAGAATGAAAAGCTACATGTAGAAGACCTTTCCCCTCGTGATCCTCTTTCTTATGCATGCATGTTGCCAATTGTTGGTGCAGTACAAGTTTAGTGTTGAAAGCAGCATTTCAAGTGTTGTGATTATTGTGAGGTTTTGTGGGAAATTTTAATTTTCGGCTATCACATTTCGTTAATTTCTTACTTTTTAGACGAGGTCCATGCTCCATGGACTAGAACACAATAACTTTTTTTAGAAGACTGCCATAAAGCAGTTTTTATTGCTATAATGGTATATGATTTAGAAAAGCGATCCTGTCAGCTTTTCTATTATTGTGTTCACATGGCAAGAAAAACGACACCGCTATGCTACGTAAGTTTCTACGTAAGGTGCTCGGTATTTCACTTAGGCTACGTAAGTCTCTACGTAAGGTGCTCGGTATTAGGTCTACCAACGGGTGGTAGCCGCGTGCTGTGCACGTGCACGCCAGACATTGTGTTGCAGTCCGTGTTGGGATGTGCATGCGCGAGGAACTTCCTCCTTTGGAACTGCTTCTTGTATGAGCTGTTTCGGATATTTCGTCTCCTGGCCTGGCTTATTTCTTTTCGGCGCTGCTGAGACCTCCTTTCGCGGAATATTACTCAATGACAGGTGAGTTGACCAGTTCCCTTTGATTCATTTGCTTGTGTTGACTCTTTCATTTACGGAAAGTGTGCTGATTTTGGCCGGAATGCAATAAATAATGGAAAAGCTGACAGGATCTCTTTTCTAAATTTAGCTTTTCCACTGCCGAGGCCTCCTTTTACGGAATACTCGATGACCGGTGATCTCTTAGTTGACCGGTTTCCTTCGATTCATTTGCTTATGCTCACCCTTTCATTTACGGAAACGTGTGCTGATTTTATTCGGATTTAGATCCATTTTTATCTTCTTGCCCTTGTCTACAGTGTGCGAAGAACGCGAGTTCACCTTCTTGGCGGTAAGGCTTATGTTAGATGTGTTGTCGAAATACTCACATTAATTGTACATGTACATAATCATTGGTATGTTACAAGTAAGGCATTGGTCAGTGGCATACTATCGTTGGCAGTTCCCAATCTGGAGAGAAAGGTTCAAGGACCCATTGACCGAGTTTGCAAAATAAATTCGCATATCAGGGAAAATCTCCATTGTGGAGAGGTTCAGTAAACTTGTTTGCTTCATCCGAAACAAGCCAATGGGTGCAG